TTATTAAAACATATCCATGTCTGTTTACAAGGAAACAAAATTTTCTTTCTGTGGGAATTGTCTTATTAATAAGCAAACCTTTAAAACAAAAGCACAAACAATATGTATTTAATAGAACAAACCTGGCTGACAAGAGTAAACCACGTTAAAATGATGCCCAGTATTTGTGGTGGTTAAGGCCCCTGGTGTCAGGAAGCTCCTGGCTCATGGGCCTGTTTCCCAGGCTCCCACTTACTGTTGGCTTAAAATTAGATAAATGTTTTTCTTCTCTGAAATGTTTTTTCTGCTCCCTGTTTCTGCTTGTCATGACACCTTCAGTGAAAGGTGGATTAAAAGAGCAATTTGCTTCAGTCAGGCCGGTAATTATAATGTCACTGTTATTTCTGACAAAGCCTGGCGGTTGGTTGCAACACTGCATGCCTTTCTTAAACAGACTATTTGCTATTTCTGTAAAACTAAACATTTAAAATATTTGTGTCATGTAGCCTATTAGTCCACTTGGAGCTGCTTAGATTTTCTAATATAATCACTCACCAACCCGCTCAGGTCTGAGCCTTTGACTTGAACAGTCCTGCACAAGTATAAAATGCAGGCTACTGTCAGCTTAAGTTAGGGTATTAATTTATTGCTTTGAGTCTGTTTTTTCACATGAAATGTGATTAAACACATTTCCTCTGGGGTTGTAACAGTAAAGCTTCTATGAACAGGCTTTTACTTATAATGTGGTTTAATACCTGACGTGTTTGTTCTACAGACAAATGAGGAGTAAAGGTACAAGTGCTCACATGTCCGTGTTGGTCCAGTTCGTTGTTTGTCAGTTTGACTTTCTCAAAAGAAACCATTTGCTTCATCAGCTGCTCTCCTGTGAACGGAGAGTCTGGGTGGACGTACAGCCTGCAGGGGAACAAACAAGGGCAAATGTTTGATTCCAAGTCTCGGGAGTAAACACGGGGATGGGTTCGGGTTCAGCATCGTTTGAGACGATTAGTTGCGGGTTTGGGTTAACAAGGGCAGGTCACATCCTCGTCTCTGATTGGCTGACAGGCGATCGAAGCCAACGTCCACAGCCAATCAACTCAGAGCTGTAAACTGCGCTAATTGCCAAATTAGCAATTAGTTGCTTAGTGACCACTTTTAAAAAAAACACTGTGTAAAATCGTGGAAAAGCTTTGCTGGTTTTCAGGATGTTTTTGTTAGGCTAATATCTCTTTCATGCTTTAGTCTTTTCAAGATCGTTTTGTTAGTCAAAATATTATAATTGATATTTATTGATTTATATTTCTGTTTTATTTAACAATTATTTAAAAGCCAAAAGTAAGGAATGTCTTTTAATTTTAACTGTTGAACTGTATGTTCTGTAGCCTATAGGAGCTGAATTATAAAAAAAATAAAACAATAATAGCACATATTTTAGAAACAACACAGAGGAAAAACTCAAAGTGAGAGCCAAATAAATGACATGCAGGCCTAATGTAAGGTAAACAGGAGAACACAGGATGTTTCTCACTTTTTTTCAGCTCCTCTTGCATTCATGTTAGGATTATGTTAGGGTTGGCACCTGTTTGGAAGGCAAATTCTAATTTGTCTCTATGGGCAATGTATGTAAAAAATATTGGAATTTACTGCATACAGTATTAATATAGCCTATTTGGTTAGGTTATTAAATAATCTCTGAATTAAAGGGCCTACACTAGATATAGCAGGTTACACAAACAAGACTAGTAATGTAACTTGTAATCTTAGCCCACTGTTCCATATGTTGACAACTGGTTTTTGACGTAGAAAGACTACATTTTAGGCCTATTCAAACCCTCTGAACATCTGAATATTTACAGATAGCTCGGCCATCTTTGATTTGGGAGGGAAGCAAACAGTTAGGGATACAAAATAGTAGCTGCTATAACAATATAGCGCCCAAAGGGGTTTGGGACACTCTATCCTGACAATCTTACGCAAAATTCAGTTAAATTAAGTGATCACAATTGCGCACACATGCGTGAAAAAAAACAACCTAAATTAGTTGGAAGCAAATTATTTTCTGACTAACGAACTGCATTCATAAATTAATTGGCTGTATATATATATATATATAAATAAATAAATAAATAATCGCATAGCCTACTGGCTATAACTCACATTTATAATCACAACAATTAGTCTTACTGATTTCTAACTGATGATCACATCGTTATGAACAGTACGTTTACCGGGTATCACAGTTCAGAAAGGCAGAACTACTTTGGGCTGCACTAGCCTCTATTTCACCTGCATTTCGCACAGTTATTAAAATAGTTAAATTCTTATTGACAATAAAGATCGATTCTCTAATTGTCTGGATCATGTAGTCTATAATAATATTGCTGACTGATGTTGGGTTTTATATATACATATATATATATACAGGCTGTTTCCAGCTAAGACAAAACTCTAGGCCACCCTAACTCCGCTGTTTCTCCTCGTTTCAGTTCGGTAGGTTTCCAAAATATTTCCACATGTTTTCCGTTTCAGCGATGAAATACACAGTCCGTTCACATGTCTGTACCTGGCAGGCAGAGGAGGGTCGGCCTTGCCGGCCACCAGCCAGGAGGAGCGGTGGTAGGCGTACCGGTACCGTTTGTTGTCCACCGGGACGATGTCCATTAGCACGATGTACTTAGAGTCCTGGTCCACCCCCGAGAAAGAGACCCGGATGGTGGGGAACATCCTCCTGATGAGGAAGTGACAGGTGTTACTATTATTGTATTATTAGTAGTATTATTATTATACATGTTAATAGATTGCTTTTTGGAGAAGTGGGTTTTTATGTCAGAATAAACCAAAGCATTATTAGGCTACTGTTATTAGTAGCAGTGTGCACATAATTTTGAGCAGTTCTTATCTAAAAAATATATTTCTGTAGTCTAAATCAAAGGCAAAATCTTGGTAGGTTATGTTACCCCTGTGAGTTTTTCTTTTAAAGCTGCAACTGTCTGTCTCCAGGATTTGAGAAATTTATGGTCTTTTCTAAAAACGTTTTAATATCTTGTATTTTGTTTTTTTATTTTTTCTTATTTAATTATTTGTAAGTAACTGGTAATTTTTAATTATTGTTTTCTAAATCGCAGGAATAAAACTCTGGAAATACAATCAGTCCCTTATTAATAAAAAAATGTTGATTTAAAAGTAATCAGGTGTAAATACATTAAACTCTAAAATATTGTAATGAATCGTGTGTATTTTTTACCGTGTGTCCTCGGTGGTAGATACAGCCTGGCATGTACAGGCCATGTTGTGCTTATAATATTATACAACTTTATGAAAAATAAACTTGAAATACTACATGTGTGCCTATTTTCTTTTATTTCAGGATATAAAGGAATAGATGATGTTCTTTATTATTCATTTTACCTACCTACCTAACTATTATTATTATTATTATTTTATCTACCTTCCGGACTTGGTGATGATCATCTCGGTGCCCAGCTCGTGAAATTTGTCCCACAGCTCCTTGGTCTCCAGGCTGCACGAGATCTTCGCCATCTCCTCGCTAGGTATGCCGGGATTGGTGGGGATGAGCGGCTCCGTGCACACCGCGGGCGCGCTCCCGCCGAAGTCCCCGTGCCCGTCCAGAGAGGACATGTCTGCCAGAGACTGCTGGGTGCAGGAGGACTTCTCCACGAATTGCTCTTTTGGGTGAACACACGGAAACAAAGAAATAAAGAGAAGATGATGATGTGGACTGATTTCCATCAGTGTCACTGACAGCAGCGTGTTCTAAAGAAACAGAAAGCTCGCATATAGTTAGTTAGCAGTCTAATACAACAGCCTACACATCTTCTGTTTATTCTTAAAATAATTATTACTATAACATCCGTACTGTCCCGTGTCGGTGACTACGTCATGGGAAATAACACAAAATAACTTTCTTCAGCTGCAGTTTATATAATATGTTTGGCATTTTAATCCGTGAAACGTGTAAAAATGTTTTACAATTTCACTGACATCATGACAATAAAGTGGAAAGCCCTCTCTGCCTGACAGGGCTTTTTACTCTTACTTTCTGTGAAACGGCCTAATTAAAATGATATTTGGCGCAGCAGCCTGAGTGGGTTTCCTCTCAAATGCCACACAAGGTCTTTATAAGATAGAAACTGATATCATGTTGCAGGTCTGTTCCAAACTCCGATGAATGAGTGAGAGAAAAAACATCACATCACGATATGTTATTATTATTTTCTGTACAATTCACATGATCCAAGTTGTAAAACTGACATCACCGTGTCAGACAAGGATTTCAGTCACATTATTTTCTTTTTAAACTGCTGAACATTTAAATTTCATGTTAATTTAGGCAAATAATAGTCCACGTATAACTGTAATGCTAATAATAAAATAAAATAAGCTGCACACTAATAAATTACAAATGAATTTATTTGTCAAATGATGGGGAATTTGTCATATTTATTTAACTTGTTTGTTTTCTCACCATCCGTGTTCTATAGTCTAATGTAGTTTATATTTATTCCATTTATTCATTCCTTCCGTTTTTCGTTTCTTTGCTTCTGCACGGAGCTCAACTGGCTCCTTCATAACTTTCAGGAATTTTGCGTAAAACAGCGGTAGCAGGTGTAATCTGTGCCTGTAATCTGAAGCACAATTAAGGCTTTATTAAACCTGAAAAGCCGAGATTTTATTTTATTTCACAGTCCGTCTCCTTCCCATCCTTACCGAGAGGCTTGATGGTGTTCTCCTCCGTCTCTTTGTCCTTACTGGGCTTCCCACTGGACATCAGCGCGGCTATGGAGAAGGCATTTGCTCTGGACGAGAGCTGCGGTTTCGGGGAAGACGTGTACTCCATGTCGGTGAAAGGGTTTGGATCAAAATATTTCCTTTTACATAAAAAGAATCCTCCAAAAACGCTCAGCCCCGCCTGCGTTTGGCTCCCAGCGGAGAAATAAGCGCAGTAAAATACGTTCAGTTTCTCCTCGACTTCCCTGTTTGCGCACAAACTGCTCGTCTAAACGGACACACTCGCCACTTTGGAAACACTTGTCACTGTCGAGCTGTGATTCTTGTTGAATGCATGATGGAGGAAGGAGGACGACTGACTCCAGAGATTTTAAGCCCCTTGCGGTGTCAGATGTGAGGCCGGCTGCTCTTTGGGAAGCTCCAGTCCGGTTCACTCTCCCCTTATAATTCCCGTGTGATCTCCAATCACTGCCTCTGTTTCCACGTCACACTGTCCCGCAGCAGCTCTGAGACCGAGCAGCCAATAACCAGAGGCTGTGAGAGTTTCTATTTTTTAATGCCAAAGACCCCAAATACAGAGAGAGATTGTCTGGCTAAAGAAGAAACGTGTGATATTTTCATGACCTCACTCCATAGATGGGGTGATGACAGTGGGACATGACAAATTCATAGGCCAGTCACTAAAATGTCATTCTTTGCTGTCATTGCAGTCACTATATTAAGGAGAGAAATAAGAAGTGAACTTTATATGACAACAAGAGACATTAGCCCATGATAGTGCTATTTGATAATTATTACATACACATTTTTATTTTCTAAAGGCTGAGAGTCATCATTGTCTCCCAAACCGTGAATGCCCTGTTGTCAGAGTCATCAAATAATGTAGAAGAAATACAAAGTTGCCTATAGTTATAAAATATATAATAAATAGTTATATTAAATACAATAAGCCATTACGGCGACCCTGTTGTGATGTTCATTCAGTGTCCGGAGGGGGAAACAGACCCCTGGCCTGCATAACATAATTTTTTTTTTGACTCCCAGGGCTCTCCAGCACATCGGTCATGCCTGAGCAGCTTGCTTCATGTTCAGACAGTACAGTGGGCCTATGGTTCAAACTATAACGAAGACCTTCATCCAATAAACCTGCTCCAGTTGCAATTCAATTATCCAATTAAATGCACACACGCCCCGCCCTCCCTCCCATTCCAATATGGCCTCAGTCACCTGTCAATCAAATGAGCTACGCTGCTGTCAAGTTTTTTTTACGTCGCTTACGTCGTGCACCGATATTTACGGCGCTTTTAAATAATGTTGCATTAAAAAATTCGATTAAATGAATAATGGAGTAATGAAAACCATTTACAAGAAACAGGAAGTAGGCTGTGTTTCCATGGGTTGAGTGAGTTATGCCAAGGCCTGCAGCATGAACCCAGGTTTTTATGTTGTGTTCGTTTATATTTCGCTAAATGAAGCAGGCCGATTTCGTTAGCAGCAGTTCCTGCTTGTTATGAAATTTTGGATGTACTGACAACTGTCAACGAATCACTCTGGTACTGAAGAAAGCCTAAAAACGCCATGATCTTCGGTGAAGTTCTGATGTTATAAGGAACGTCTTCTTTCTATCATTTAAAAGGGTCTATGGATAACGAAGTCCTCGGAAAGGGTAAGTAATACTGACTAAATTTTGTATCATATCTGTGTGTGTTCAGATCTGGCTAAATTATGGCTGATTTTTTTATTTAAATTGTGCCCAAACTATTAGTAGACCCCCTTAAATGCCCCAGTTTTTGATTGCATCTATAAGCAAAACGTTTATAACAAAACAAAACAAAAACAAACAAAAAAACTTCCTTTTGTTTTCCCAACACCAGAATGCATGACTCACATACATGGGAGCCATTAAATAAGGTTTTGATTTGTGAGCTTAAAATGTTTTTGGTTTAAAAAAATTTGAATATTGGATATTGATATTTTATAAATAGTTAAAATAGTGTATTCTAGTTTGCTTTGGAGAGCATGTTGAGTGTGTTCATACAATATGTGAATAAATTAGACTAGTAATATAAGACATGAGTAGCTTTCAGCTGAGTCAAAGCTCTCAGGAGACACCTGGCCTTGGTGAAATGTGTGCTCTTTTACTATTTTTAATATTGTGTGAAAATAGATGCATCTGATGCTACAGCTTCTCATGTTGTTGCTCTGTATTGTGAAAATATTTTACATGGACTTACATTTTTTTCACAAGGAGATATTTAGGATTCAGTATCTCTGTCAAAGGGCTCTTGGTCATGCAGTCAGGAAGAAATCTGAGCTACAGCAACACTGTCACCTTGTAAGTAATATATTTGTTTCTACATAAATTTAGTTGAGGTGCAAAACATTTCATTAAAGTTCTTGCACACCATTAGTGACAGGCGTAGGCTCAGAGGAGGACGCCGCCAGCAGAACTTCCAGCATGCATGAAAATCACAGTGACCTCTTTAAATATAAAGATAAACATTGTACCAAGTTCTTCCATTTGTAACCATACGTTGTAAATTACCAATAGAAAGAATGTTCACACCACATTAAGGCCCCTCTCTAGGGCCCCTCTGAGTGATGGTTAAGTGAAAGCCTGTTAACCTATCTATGTTTGCAGTGGTGGAAAAAGGCTTCAAGTAAAAGTAGCAACAGCACAGTGTAAAAATACTCCTACTGTATAGAAGCAAATGCCCAGTTTTGAAACTGTGACCTATTTATACAAGTAATAGCAGCCAAATATACTCATAGTACCAAAAGTAAAAGTACTCGTAATGCAAAATGGCATTGTTCAGCCTGCTATACATATGATATATATGAACTGATCAAATTGTAAAGTGAAAAGTGACAGTCAGATTAATGTAGTGAGGTTAAAAAAAAAAAGTTGAAAAAAAGGATTAAGTAGCATAAAATCAAAATATAAAGTACAAGTGCTCTGACTTAAGCCCAGTACTTGATGTACGTTGTTGCTCTTCACCACTAGCTCGTATATTCACCTTCTTTGGTGAAGGTCTCAGAACCAACATCTCATTTTCAGCACCATTCAGCGATTATGAGGTTTCGACAACTCAAAATACTGCACCCAGAGGAAAGGCCCGAGGGTTGCTGCGGGGATGGCTTGGAGAGGTAGAAGACAGTTTTGTAGCTTTCAGGTTGTTGGTTTGATCTCTATGTGGTTTGTTGAATTTTCAAGCCCAGTGTTTCTGTCCAAATATCTCATGGAGTGAGAGGACTGCCGGGTTTTGGGTTTGATCTTGAGTCCAACACCTGTAGTAACCGGTCAGTGGCACTAGGAAATAACTGGTTCTGCTGTCTGACCAAACAGCTCGCTGTGTCAGCGAACTACTTGGAAGATGCTAGTTTGCAAGTTTGATCCCCATGAGGCCAGCGCCCAAAATAAAGATGGAGAGATGAAGACTTGGTGGTGTGGTGGGCTTGTTGGTTGTGCAGTGTGTGGCTCTAATCCTGCTCGGTGTTTTGCACTGGAATATGAGACCAGTCCCACTGTAGAGGGTGACCTCCACAGAGATAGAGCAGGAGTTATGTTGGAGAAAACTACTAGCGGCTGCCATCTTACTGAAGCACTGCATGGTGGTGGAGGAGTTTTGTGTATATAGTGAGGTATACTTAAGGTACAGCATATGATATCGTAGTACGCCGCTGGCCTGGCTGCAGCACCCTGTGCTGTGTCACATGCTTCACTTGCCTGGGGGACGCTTGTCAGTCAGTGTCAGAGTGTGTCTGTTACTGTCGTGTGTGTGTCAACAAACAAACTGAATTCCTATGAGCAGATTTAAGACACAAGTACTTTTTAAAATTGGATTGAAATCCAGTGTTTGGGGACTGAACATTTTTAAAGTTAAATTAAAAGTTTGATTCTATGTGTTTTGAGTAATTAATTGAAATGTAAATAAATAATCTGTTGCTCTTTTATTTCTAACTTTATGCACTTCTTTCTTTTTATTAGCTTAGATTTTAAAATAGTTTTATTCCCCTCTTGTCTTCATTTCAATACAATGTGAAACCTGAAACTCGTGGTTTTAACAGCTGGATTCAGTGGTGACAACAGACGAGTCTGCAGTTTGTTATATATATACAATCTAAACCGCAGGTTTCCAGGCTCAGGTTCTCCACTGTTATCACTGTATGACTGTCCTTAGTCACTCATTCAGTTTTATATCAAAGTAGAAAGCTTGAAAGCTTTCAGGATTAAAGATATTTTTTCTCTTTCTTTTAATGTGATAGGGACTGAATCCGGTCTAGACAGATTATCTACACCTAAGGCATGAAATGACGAAATGTTTTTTCTTCCTGGATACTAGTGATAAGTAGTGCTGGATTTCCAACAGCCAATCACAGAGGCCACTTTGACTATGGATCCCATTTCAGATATAGTTAATTAAAAGTCAAAATATGTGAAATACAACTATTTCTAGTGATTTTGAAAAGGTGTCAGTAATTCTGTCCAGTCCATTTTTGCAGTTTTGTGTGGACTGGGTCAGATCTGGCTTTTCTTTCTCAGATTTTTTTCTGTTGTTCCAATGCAAACAAAGAAATAAACATAAGAATACCAAAGAATTCGTGATTGCAACCATTTTCTGGGAGAAGTGGTGCATTATCTGACAGAAATACAGGGGTGCCAGTATTTTTGGCCATGACTGTAATTACTGAGCAAGACATCCTCAGAACAGCTAAATCCATTAGCAGAGCCCTCAATGCAAATCTGCTGCTGCAGATATTTAATAGGAGACCTGCGCTGGCAAATTGGATTATCTTGCAATTGCCAGTGGATAATGTGCTAAAAGCTTTCCTGCTTAAGTGTTTGCTCCTTCCAGAATATTATTCACACTTTGAGGGGCTGCTTTAAAGAAACACATAGCCTGGAGGTGAAGTGCAGAGGAGGTGGTTTGTGTTGGTGCCTTCCACAGTGGGACACAGGATGAGTCATGAGTAATAGTTGTTCTATTTTGGTGCTTGACTTATCTTTGATGGTTCTTAGCCAGCTGACTCACTAACACAGATAAGACTGAGAAAGGTTACAGGTTTACATGGATGAAAAATGCTGGATACATTGGCCAGTATGCACTTTGTACCCTTATAATATTGTGTCCAGACCTGATAATATAATTGTTTCAGTTTTCCAAAATATCCACAGTTTTAACAACACAGCTTTTGGGAGTCCAGATTCATTTTGGTTCATTTTTGCAGACTTTCTCTGCACTCAGGACATCCCTCTCTTTCAACACAGGCTCAGCCATAAGTAAAAACCTGCTACAAAGAGATTCTGGCTGTGGACTTCTGTTGTGTGTCATATCACCCTCACTCTCCCTTTGTTTATTGTTTGTCTTTATACCATTAGTGGCAAATATAACCAAAAATATCAAAAAAGATGAGCAGCACAACCTAAAAACAAACATTAAGGTACTTTTTTAAAGGAAAGAGGAGCCTGCTCTCACCCTCAGTTACTGTTTTAATGTTTCCTGATGCTGTTGCATCACAGTTTACGTCAGTGCTGTTTATGCACTTGCACTTTAAATCATGAGCAGTTTAGAAACACACACACACACACACACTGTGCTTTCATTCCTTGTGGGGACTTTACATTGACTTACATTCATTCCTGTAGATTTATCCTAACCTTAACCATAACCACTACTTTCCTAACACCTAACCCTGACCTTAACCACCCAAGGCACTTACCTTAACATAGCCACTAACCCATTTGCTTAACCCTGACCTAATAAAGACAAGTACCTAAACCTAATCAATAACAGCTGGTGTCTAACCTTAACATAAGAATTATGACCAAAATCTAATCGTGTCTGTCTAACCCCGCACCAAACCAGTCCCTCCCTTAACCATCTACAGATGTTTGCCTAACCTTAACCAAAGAGATCCACAGAAAGGCTGAAATCTAACAATTTTGCAATATCACTGACAAAAGAAAAAAAAACGGCATAACTTCAAAATAAATCATCCCACTGATTCGAACCATCTCAAAGTTTACAGAAGAAATTTTCTAAGTTCAGCACAAACCATCGAGACATAAAGTCTCACCTACACTGGGATAGAGAGAGCATACAGTTTGCTTTGCCGTCGGCTCTCTACTCCAAACCATTTAGTTGTCGGACGAGGCGGGGAGGAGCATCGAGACAGATTTCTTCACTTAACCTAACACCTAACCTCAATCATAAAAGTTGATCTTTTCCACTTGTCAAAATGGCACTTTTATGAGCTTTAATCCAATTTTGACATTTTTATCACTCTCTTGGCAACATTTGGTTTCTTTACAAAAACATATTCAGTCCAGTGCAAAGTCTTGGAGTAGATTTGAAGAATTATGTAACCCTAACTGAATGTGCCAGTTAATTAGACATACATGACAAAATGCAGTTCATTCAGGAAAATTCTTCTATTTTGTTTGAGGCCATTAAATCCTGAATGCTGAAACCTCTTTCATTTATACTGGAAACAAGTGATAGGAGTCTACCTCTTACTGGCGTTCTGCACTTGTGGTGATCATTTCTATTCTGGGCAGATTAAATGACTTGTCAGAACTGACATGCTCTGCAGTGTGCAACGCTCGACTCCCCGCCACACATCAGTGTGTGTCAGTAGCAAGAGATAACAAGATAGGTGACAGCTCACCACACAGAGCCTACAGGCAGCAGCACTCAGGGATATGACAATGAAACCATTTGAACAATTATTCCTCCAGATAAATGGCCACAGCATAACAATGTTGGCAACAAATGGCAGCCAATTCCCTGCAGAGTGGAATCTAAGGAAAAATAATCGCCCCATGATTGAATTGAATCCTAGGACATTTGAGCCACACTAATGAAATGGCTGTTGTTGTGACCCTAGCCTTTGACCTCTCTGGTGAATTTTTTTTTTTTTTTTAACTACATTATCGAGCAGGCAACAGGGATGACTATTTGCCTACAAGAAAACAAAATCCCTATTATCACAGGTACTTGTGCATATTACATTCCAACGTTCACCTGCAGGGCTGGTGTGGCTACAGGGAGAGACCTTAACTGAGAAGACTGATTATTTTAACATCTGATGGTTAAAACTAGTTCAACAGTGGAAGCTTGAACTAAGCTTTGCAGAGGGCAAGGATCAGAGGTCATAAAATATCCTTGTGTCCTCTTTAACAAACTTTTAATAATGATGATCACTTTATTTGGCCAAGTATGTTGCACACACAAGAAATTTGTTTCCGGTACAGAACTAAAGCAGCCACCTGTAGTGCCAACTCACACCGATGGCTGTAGACATCGGGGGCAACTTGGGGTTCAGTGTTTTGCT